GCCGTGTGAACCCGCGAACCCGGCGCCCCGAGATACTGCTTTCACCAGAGAGCTGCCCTCCCCGGCCAGCGCCCGTGTGCGGGGACGATGGCGTCACCTACAGCAACGAGTGTGTCATGGGCCGCACCGGGGCCGCCCGGGGCATCCTCCTCCAGAAAGTGCGCTCCGGACAGTGCCATCCTCGAGGTGGGTGGCTCACCCTGCCTGTGCCCACCATCCCTTTATGCCTCTCGGGTCCCCACAAACCGGCTCCGGTGCCCATGGGTCCCCTGCGTGTGCCAAGATCAAGGCCGTGGCACCCCTGCCTCTCTGATCTCATTGACCCCCCACCCCCACCCCAGACCAGTGCCCAGACCCCTGCAGGTTCAGTGCCGTGTGCCTGTCCCGCCGAGGCCGTCCCCGCTGCTCCTGTGACCGGATCGTCTGTGACGGGGCCTACAGACCCGTGTGTGCGAAAGATGGGCACACGTATGACAACGACTGCTGGCGCCAGCAGGCCGAATGCCAGCAGCAGCGTGCCATCGCCCCCAGGCACCAGGGCCCGTGTGGTGAGCACCGTGGGGGGTTGTGCCTGGAGCAGGCTGAGCCTGCGTCGGTCCCTGCCGCCATCATCACGCCATCTCCATCCAAGTCACCTTCCTCCTGGGTGGCGGGTGAGGGGACTCCGGGTCTTGGCAGGGCTCTTCTCCGTCAGTGGCCTCTGCAGCCCCTGGGGGCATGAGCAGCCTGCAGCCTGGGGTCCCCCCTGGGCGGAGCTGGGTTTTGCGGGGCCAGCAGAGATGGGGTCTGTCCATGGGTCTGTGCATCTCTGCGTCCGTCTCCTGTCTGTCCTTCCTTCCCTCTCGGCTGCACCTCTTGTGTCTTCCAGCCTGACCCACGGGCAGGAGGACGTGCAGCGCCTGCCGCCAGGAGCCCGCGGTCTGAGGTCTGCCCCAGCGTGCGGGGGGGTGGCTCGCTGCTGCCTGGCCGTGTAGCCCTCAGAGCAAGTGGACAGACACCTCCCCGTGCGCCCTGGGTCTGACTCTGGGCTGCAGACTTCCTACCCACAGAGAGGCCCCCACACGTGCATCCGTGTCCCAGGGTGGCCGGGGTCAGGGTCAGGGCCCCGGGGGGCTGGGTGAGCCTGGCCCTCGTGTGGCCCACTGTGG